CACGGTTCAAAGTTAACCCGTCGACACCTTGAAATGACGGGCCGAAAAGAAGACTGGGTCTGACGAATAATGCGAAAGGGAAAATTAAATAATGATAATAATAACAATAATAATAATATCAAAAAGGAAAAGGGGGCTATGACATCATAATTACCCCTAACTAAGGCAGGAATTCAGACCATTTGCATAAATCCGACGCTCGGGTTTCTTTTCTTTTCCCATATTTCCCTTTTCCTTTTGCTTCCCTTTTCTTGTCCCTTCATTTTGACAGCAGTGTTCTCGTGCACCTAACCCATAACCTGGTTAGAGGGCACTCGGCGCGCAGTAGAAAAGGCCGCGCAGGTCTTTTCACCTTCGCGTCCCAGGGCAAGCCCGGCGGCTACCACAGCCACAGGCCGGTAGTGCTCTGCTGTACAGCAGGGCGCCGAGCCTGCGTGGACCAAAGGAAAGTCCTGTGGCGCACCCTCCCTTTTGCTGAGGCAGGCACCAATAGGACCGGTCCACATCAAGGTACACTCCGGGTACTAGGGATCGTAGAGGTTCGGGAACACGACTACAGGCCACAACGTCGAAGCAAGAGGTTGATACCAAGCAGGGACTTGGTACGCGGAGGGGGGCCGGGACACCGCGCCCTCCGACAGCGTGCACCCCAGCCAGCAGCGCACATGCAGATACTTGCGCAGCAGCATGTCCGCATTGCCGGCCTCTGCCCAGCGACCTTCCTATACACCAGGTACGTTCTCTCTCCTTCCCTCATCAGACCTTGACCACCCACTCATGCGCCCATCCCCCACATGCGCCCCTGCAGCCTGGCTATGGCTGCCGTGCGCCCGCTGCCCTGCAGCGGCCCTCTCATCTCATAGCGCCCGCGTGCACCCCAGCTTGCAGTGCACATGCAGATACTTGCTCTCTCACCTCATAGCGTCCGCGTGCACCCCAGCCAGCAATGCACATGCAGATACTTGCGCAGCTGCGCAGCAGCATGTCCGCATTGCCAGCCTCTGCCCAGCGACCTTCCTATATGGAAGTCACGGCCTGTGTTTGGCTGTGAGGGCCTGGCTGAGGAAGCTTCCGGTAGCTTCCAGTCGGGGCCCATTGTTTGCATCCAGGCCCTGTCCGACAGTTGGGGGCCTGGGCCCTTTCTAGTTAGGCACGTCCAGGCAGCCTCCAGGCTCCAAGTGTTGGCCGTCTTCTCATCGGCTCGCCCGGCCTTGTGATGACAATGCTGCTTTCTGATTCGCCGGCGGCCACTTCGTGATGTGTCAGCCTCACACTGCACGTGCCCAGGGCCGCCCAGGGCGCAACCACCCGGCCTTGGGCTCAACTGCTTGACACAGCTGCTGTTTCTCGAAGGAGCCGAGGGAGAGTTGCACTTCAACCAACTGGTGTGCTGCAACTGTCTGATACCCACTTTGCAAGATGTTGGGATAAGGGCCTCTGGTGGATATTCAGGCCCACCTTCACTTAGGGCGGACACGATGCTTGCTGGGGGCCACAGCCTAGATCATGTGCATGTTGGCTACGGTCCCGTGAGGGCACATTCCCTTCGCTTCTTAGAATCAGAAAGCAAGAGGGGAAAAAGTCCGGGCCACGCCATACCCCAAAACTGGGGGCACATGTCTTTGCGTGTGGGTGTGCATGTCCTAATTGTGTTAAATCTCTTTTTCGAAGGGCCCCTGCAGCGAATTAGTGAGGACCCCGCGTGGAGCAGAGATAGACTTTAGACTTCCAGTTTGTATGCGTGGGCCGAGAACATATAGTCAGGATTCAAATTCAGGTCTGTGCATCACGGTTATGGGTCACTAGTTCTTTTTTACTTGTTTTTCTTTTCTTAGGAATACGTGCAGTTAAAAGGGCTATCAAGATTCAGACCCCGAGTCACAACCCCAACATAAAGGGGCCCAGTCGGCCAAAACCTTGAGTTGCGAATCAGCATTCCTAAAGATAAGTTTTCCTAAGGCAAATATCGCGTCCAGACTGAAATGAAAAGTCATTTTGCAAAAGTCACATCTAGGTCCTGTGCGAACAGTCAAATCTGAGGCTGAGTAGGGGTCACGTCTGTTCAGCAGATAGTCAGAGGTCGCAGGCCCAGTTTAGTCTCAGTCGCAGAGGTCACATCTTGAGTCTGACCAGAAGTCCGAAAGGTAGGCCCGAAAGGCCACAGCAGCAGCAGACCATGGGAAAGGTACTGGGACTCACACTTCGCAACAAACAGGCGGTGGGCATGACGTACCAGGGAATTCGGCTAGAGGCTGGCCCAGCCAACACCAGTCCAACACTACAAAAGATTGGCCAACCTCCCATTTGGAAGATGCTCATTCGCATGAGAGTGTGGAAGTGCTTGTGCACTTGTGCACTAGTGTGGAAGGTGCGCTATGCCAGAGAGCAGCGCTGAGGGAGATGAGATAGAGGAAGTAGGCGCTGGCAGGGAAGAAGGCGGCCATAGCTGTGCCAGCACCAGAAAGCAATGTAGTTAGTAGTTAGTAGTTAGGAGTAGAAGAGCAGTGAGTAGTATTCAGAGTTGATCCTTATGTGTGTGTTAGTAGAAGGGAGTGCACATGTGAGAGAAGAGGAAGACTGTGAAGAGAGAAGACCAAAACCATCAAGTGAGAGAGAGATAAGAGGGAGAGAGAGTGAGCTATGGTAGATGCTTACCTGAAGAGTGCTGAACTTGATGTTGGTAACAAGCGCTGATGAGCGAGATGCTGAAACCCTTGATGATTGAAGAAGACTTGTAATCTTGTAGAGCGTTGGAGAGTTGAACTCTTGAACCTCTCTTTCAAATCTGGTTGTGATAATTGAGCTGCGCTATCTGGTCTACTAATCTTCTCTACGTGCAATGTGCGACATGCATGCTAGTGTGAGCACTCCATCGTGTGGTGAGCCCTGAGGCTCATTGCACAGTGGTGGCCCTAATGGCCTCTACTCACCACATGCACAAAAGACAAAACATATGGCGGCGTATTATTCCAAGTTCTAGCGAAGATTCATTCTAATGTTGCACATTTGGTGAGTAGTGCAGCCAAGCCCCGTACAGAGCCAAGCCCTGAGCGACCCATATCTGCTGAAACACGGACATGAATTTGAATCCTGGGTATATATTCGGCCAGCTCGTGCTCCACTTCATATTCACTGCCTGCCTCGATTTTGGTGGAGGGTCTGCGCTAAATTGCTGCAAGGACCCACCTGCATGGGCCCTCTGATACTTGTGAAGGGGATCCGTTGCTCTCTCTCTCTCTCTGTTCTCCCTACCCCCGTGTACACGCACACCCCTAAAAAATTGAGCGCGTCACTAATTTGCACATGGCGCACGCACACCGCACGGCGCACTGCAGAAGTGCGCCACAAGTATGATAATAATCCCTGGGGGAGAGAGAGAGAGAGAGAGAGAGAGAGAGAGAGAGAGAGAGAGAGATTGTGTCAGGGTGGTATGCTCTACTAGTAGGCAGAAATGTGTTTGTCGCTTCGTGAGAGATCAGAATAGACCGGAGAGAGTTTCCAGGCGGGGAGTTTTTTCTGTTGCATTTTTTGAGAAAGAAACCTGAATTAATTGTCAAGGCGCCGTTCTATTCTGGGAGTCCCAGTCCGGGTTCCTTTGTGTTGCTGGGATTTTGTCATCACAAATCCAGATACAAACTCTGAAATATATGCCTGCAGACTGACAGGCATGGAACTTGCTAGATCCCCAGTCTGTGCAGTGAGAGGCAGGGGGCTTTACGATGATGTGTGGCGAGCATTGCTTACTCCGAGGCGGTTTGAGTTTGATAGCAAAACGCACTTGTACAAGTCCTGTCGCATGTTTTGATGCATGCCCTCACATTTCTAGCCTATACCTGTAAACTGTCCTGATGAAGTGCGCAATTACTGCCAATCCCTGTATGTTTATGGTTGTACTACCGTTGTCTGTTATTTTTGCGGCTAAAGTCTGAACATGATGCAAGGAAGATGAGCATTAGCGAACTTCAGCAATCAAACAGCATCATACATATGAGCCCAGATAGTCTTGACCTCGAACCACAGCAGACTTGCATCACGAGATACACCAAATAAGAACACACCAAGAGTTCAAAATTGACAATGCTGAAGTAGTCCCATCATCATCAACTACGAACCAGAGTTGATATCCTATTGGCGCTCGGCGCCCAGACTACATGTGGCAGATCCTATCTAGCCTATACTACGAAGCAGAATGATGACATCAACAGCGTTCCCGACGTATGAGCATATGGCGACCTATGTCGCACGCTTCAGCACCAGGTATGTCTCTCGTAATACTCACAACCCCGATCCACACCGCACAGATGCCACTAGCACCCAAGGACCACCCTGCGCTTCACCTAGCATACAACAGCGCAGCTTGGCTATGGCTGCGTGCTCCCTCCTACTCGCCCGTGAGAGCGTGAGTGCCAGGCAGCCAGCGGATAGCGCAGCAGCGCTCACGCAGCATGCAGCCAGCACCCCCCCCCAATCCCAATGAGGAGGCAGGCCCTTCCCTATATCGAAGTGGCCTGCCTGCATCCAGTCCAGGAAGCTTCCGATAGGCCCCGGTAGGCACAGGCCCAGTCACGAAGAGAGCAGGCCTTGGGCCTGAAGTGGTTGCATGCGCCCAACTGCTTTCGGCCTCTGTTTGGTCCGGTACCCGTATCCAGCCCAGGGCCTGCTTCACATTCATTTACACAGGCGGCCCAGGGCCTGGTTTCATTCAACCAACTGGCGCAACGCAACTGTCTGAATTTCCCCGATGCGGGGTACCCTGAAGAATGAGGCCCGAAGGGCCTGTCGTGCCTGCCTTCACTTAGGGCGGCCGACCTTGTTGCAGATAGGGCCCCGTAGGGGCTAAGCGGGCGTAGCCTCGCAATGAATTGACGGCAGACTACACGTGTGAAGAGTGATTCATTTTTTTGTGTGAAGTTGTGATTAATTTCAGATTCATTATTTTTGTTTTCTTTTCGGTTGTGAACTTGTGATTGGTTTTGTAACTTTTGTGATTTGGTGAACAGATGGCCCGAGGATCGGAATGTGACGCTTGCAGCATTGGACAGAGGACTAGCAGTGCTTGCAATGTCGAGCCACGACCTGTGCTGGGATGCTAAGTGGCCACCAGAGTCTGGCGTGGATGTGAAGAGAGCCATATTGATGCTGCAAACCTGGAGCTGTCTCTTATACACATCTAGATGTGTATAAGAGACAGTCTAGGTCCTGTGCGAACAGTCAAATCTGAGGCTG